TGGAAATGGGATGCTATAATGGGCAATGATTGAAGTGCATCTTACGATGCATCGCAGAAGGAAGAAAGGACGTCAAAAATTCCGGTATCATTATAAGTAGAGCAAACTATGCTCCCACCAAAATGTTTAGAAAAAAATAAAGGTCCATGCTGATCCGTACATTTGGCTAACGTAGGGGCGCAATCCCTTTTTTATGTTTATGGGGCTAATTCTATGTGAATACGCGATGAGCATAGTTTGATGCTCAAATAAATCTGAATTTATGTTTAATAAATAATGGTTGAATTGTCGTTGAGACCAAAATTACGCTTACAGATGGATTTTATGATGCTCAGATATGACGGGAGCAACTGAAGTCAAACAAATAGCTACAGTATAAAAGCAGCTGGTGAGGGCTACGATTCGCCAATCAAAGTTGTCTCCCACTCAATCTTCCCACATTGTAGGCTTCCTTTTCCCTCCCATAGAATACTGTCTTATCGCTTTCTATTTCTCCCGCGAGTAGTTTCGCTGATGACATCACTTGGAAGATTGGAAATTGAGGCCGCATACATTACTAATGTGCAATTGCTTTTACTGAGCAGCCATAGCGTCCCGAGTTAGCACAACTTCATGAACGGAATGATATAGGGCAGGTATCGAAAATATAAGAAGAGGAAGCTCTCGTACTCACCTACAGGGAACAATCAGCCTCCTTTTGATTGAAAGTACCAAAGTAAGGTTCTTGCTGTATTCTACATACATGGGAGAAGGGATGAGAAAACAACCTGCGGTTTTACTGAACATGATCGATATCGATCGATTGCTTGCAAAATACTTATATGATCAACGTGCCCGATTCCGACTACGGAACGAACTGAAGGGTTCTTACAGCTTCTACTTTTTCAAGCTGACTACTTCAGATGCAACCTTTCTACGTTCTATTCGTACTCATTCTCTCCGTGGCAGCGCTGACTGACGAGGTAGCTTTCAACAGATTTCTTTTCATATAAATAGGTCAGTAAAGTTCGAAAACGATAAAAGTTATAAGTGTTTGGAAACAAGATATACACCGAAACATTACGATCAGATAGTAAGGGGCAGGAGATGTTGGACAAAGTAGTTGGGAAAGTGTCTTTCAACGAGATTGCCTATTTCTGCTTAGTTTCTTTCAATAAATCGGAGCATGGGGATGAGCCCATTAGGTTCATCCCAGGCTCTTCAATGGTAACTTCAGGGAAGTAACCCATCGCTAGCGAGTTCGCAGAATTTCTTAGTGGAAGAATAATACAGAAGGAAAGTCCCCATATTCGGTGAAACATTAAAATTAATATTTTTTTTTATAATTAAGAAAATATCGCAATTTATAAAATACTCATTTATGAAGGTGAGTGATCACGTCGCTTAGTTGCCTTGAACAATCTCTATAAGTTGAGGGAAAAATCTAGTCAGTTGTTCAGGAGAAGGCTTCATCCGAATCCGTTGGGCTTGTCAAGCCAGAAGATGTACTGAATTCATTCGAGAAGACTCTTCCAAAAGAGTCGGAACCGAAAAAGCTAAGATTCTACCCATTTTTCAATCCCTTCGGGTATGGTGGTTATCTCCCGTATTTCGGATATGGATATGGAGGATACGGATATTGCTGAAAACATCGACTATCTACAACTTCAGAATCGGGAACAGTGACTTGGATTTATCTGTAGATCTTGTTAGAAACTTGAAGTCATAAATCCTTTCTAATCGCATTGTTCAATGTTCACACTATTAGCACACAAACGAGCTAATCACAACTGTCTAAGCCTAATAAACCCAATAAAAAACCTTCAAAAGTATTGCAAAAGAAAAGGTCCGTGTCAGTAGAAAGCATTTCCCAGAGTTGACGATAGTCATCCAATGGGATATTTCCCCTCCATTCTGTCCGTTACGTAGGCTGCCTTTTATATTTCGGGATTTGAGAACAGGAACAAATACTATTCATTGAAAATCGCTTTACTGCCTTTCAAAATTCTCCAAATTAAGATCAGTACACTTTTGTATGGGCTCGACGGCTTCTTCAGATGTCG